ACGTTAGCCAAAGATTTCTCCATGGCTTCGTAAGAGTGCATTTTCTGACGAAGGGGCTTCAGCTCGGCTTTAAGTTTGGTGACGGTCCCCTCCAGCTCGTCAACCTTCTTTTGGGCCGCCTCTAGCTGAGCCCGAACAGCGGCGGTCGCCTGCGCCTGATAATAAAGAAGATCAATGGTCAGTACTTCATTTTGGGCAATTTGAAACATTGCTTTATCACAGCTGGAGGCGGCCATAGCCTTTGCGGCCTTTACCTCTTTGTTTTTCCGATCAATCGGCTTGCGAAGGCTGTTGACTCGGAGCAGGGCCTAAGTACAAAGAAAAACAGGCGTCAGTTTCCAATCAAAAGGGTTAACAGGCGTCCTGGAACTTCAAAAGGGTATACCTCAGCTAGGATCCCCGAAATTCCATCGAGGTCAAGGGTGCCGGCACCCTTGACCGCCTCCCTGTCAGAGGGAGGAACTACTTTAACCATTGACTTGGCTACCTCAACCAAGTCAAGTCCCTGGGGGCCGGCTGCATTAAGCAGAAGGAAAAACAAGTTAGACCTAATCAAGAAGGAAGCAAGAGTGAGTTTTTACAAGCAAGTGTCCATACATCTAGGCGGCCCCGCCTGGGTTTTTGAAGAAGTGGCCGGCTGCTTCTCAGCCGCCACTGTTTTCCTGGAAGACCCAGGAGAGCTTGCAACAGTCGTCCTCCGGGCCTTGGGGTCCGGCTGTTGCGAGGAAGAAGCCCTTGGAGTGCCAGACTGAAAACAAAAAGAGTTAGTATATGCATAATACAACTTAAAGGGGAAGAGTTTTCAAAGCTTACCAAGGGTGCCTCCTTGCTGGGGGAGTCGGCATACGACTGCTTCATTAGCGAGACCCGCAGCATGGCCGCCGCAGTCTTAGATGCTGTTATTTTACTCATGGCGTCGGCTGAAAGAAATAAACAGCAAAGTTAGTAAAAATCCCAAGTAAACAAGGCGTGAGAAAACAGAGTATTCGTCAGGCCGGCTACCTCTAGAGCACCGACTGCCGAGGCCACAGGCGGCCAAGAAGTACTCATCATAGAGCCACTTGAAGCTCGGGACGCAGTGTAGGGGTACTTGCTCTCGTACCCCTGAAGTAGAGTTCACCCTAGTCTCTACTTTGAAGAGTCCTTTGTCTAGGATCTCTCTTTTAGCCTTTGGGGGAACAGGCGGCATGCTGCGGCCGCCTGCAAGAAGAGGCGGATCCCTGTTCCACTTGTTAAAACGTTTGTTCAGCTCCGTGTCTGAACTCTCGATAATAAGGAAGGTGTTCCGCCAATCCTTCCATTTGTTTGCCTTACCTCTCGTCATGAGGTAACCCCTGTGGCTTGTTAGTTGATACCAGCCGGTACCTCCCGACTTAGGGGTCCGGCTGAGATAGTTCATGTGGGCGAAAGCCTCAAAACTTGGCTCCACCCCGTTCAGTTCGCACCCGGCCACATAGCCGAGTACGTTTACCCAAGAGTTGGGGGCTAACTGCCATAACCCCAGATCATACCCATCTAAAATCCGCTGAACAGCCGGATGTAATGGGAAGCGCAGACCAGCTTTGATGGCCGCCACATAGCAGCCAAAACAGCCGTCACCATAGCTGGTACCAGCCGGCCAGACGACAGTATCTTCTGGATCCGGCACAAACAGTAAATACTCCGGGCCCATTTTGTGGTTAGCAATAAAGCTCGCCACGTTGTCTCGCATGGTTGCGATCCGGCCCCGGGGCACCCTGCAGTAGTAGGGGGTGTTTTCCTCTCTGTAAGAGGCGGACGGCTCTGCCCAATTATCCCCCTTCTCCACTGCATGGGAACTTCTCGCCTCTTGTAGGCGGTTATGTTTTTCTTCTGAGTCAGAAGAACTATGGTCAGAAGAGCTGGAATCGGACTCGTCCCCTGACGAGTCCGAAGAGGACGACTCCTCCCCTCTCCTAGAGGGGCCCGCCTCCTCTCCCTTAGAAGGAGCAGAAGGTAAATTGGACATGTCCACGGTTAGATGAGAAGGGAACACCTTGGTCCCTCTCTCAGAACTGTCAGCTTGACAGTCGCCTCGTTCCACATCTGGCGCCTGGTCAGATGTTTCGCTAAGGAGTACCCTTTGGGAGGAGCCGTCTGAGTTTGATATTCTAGCAGTCTTTTTTGTTCTGGCCATCACGTTCTGCATAGACACAGATTCAGTCGGACTTTGTATAAAGGGCAAAGATGGGTCCAGAAAAGGGCAGGCGGCACTCCTAGTCCTAGATTCAGCCGTCCCCGGTGACCGGCTGATCACTAACTTAGGGCGTGTCGTGTGCTTCCATGGTGCCATTTCAAAAAATAAAAAGAAAATTAAGAGTAAGAGAACTGAGTTACCTGAACGGATGACAGTTGATGAAGTCCTGGAAGTTCGGGTCAGTCGGCTTGTCAGAACAGGCGGTAGGCAGAAAAAGTCCGAAAATGTCAGAGCAAGTTCAGGGGTCCGAATGTTCTCGCAAAAATTCTCAAATGTGAAAATGACCGAAGTCAGCACTTCCTTTTATAGGCAAAATGAGAAGGCGAAGGGTCGCTTCCGAATTCAAATTTGGGCGGGAGAATCTCCCGGCCGTCTGCAAGGTGACACCTGTAACGGGCCGTCGCCTGTCACCGTGCGACACCTGTCACAGGCGACACGTGACCAGTCGCGTGCCACCTGTGAGGGGCAAATGATTAGGGGATTTTTATCCACCAAGCGCCGTTTGACAAGTGGACCAACCAGGTTCCGCCACGCGTCCTCCATGGACCACTTAAGACACGCCACGTGTCCACCCATGCCAAATGGGACAACCGGCCATCAAGGCCCATTTCAGTCTAGAAGCCCGATCGGCCCTAGGTTTACCTTAAACCTAGAGAGTTGCACGCTTCCCAAGGCTATAAATACTCGATTAATCCTCATTAATCGGGGGACCGAATAATTTACAGAACACACTAATAACCGGCTGATCTCGCTAGCAAAGCAGATTACCTACATTAAATACTCTCACCTAGAGAGACCTTATTACTTTAATTTCTGTATTAATTACTCCTTAATCAGGTACTAACTTGACCGTTGGAGGCGGAGCTCTCAGGAGTCTCCGTTATTTTGCAGGTACAGGCGTCCGGTTCCAGTCTCGGAATTGTAACTCTCCCGCAGGACATCAGAAAACCCCGAAACATGTGGCATATTAACAAAGATGTTGAGGCGAAGGTTACTTCTATGTTTGAAAAAAAGAAGGAGATTGGTGCCAAGTTCAAAAATGGGAGGTGGAGGCATGTGATTAATGCTACATCTGAAGAGGCGTATAAAAGAGAACTTGTAGAGCTGAAAACCAAGTGGGGTCGATGGCCGAAAGTGATTGAATATGTTGTGGACACTTGGCTCATACACAAGGAGAAGTTTGTGATGTTTTGGACGAACCAGGTACTGCACTTCGGCAATGTTAACAACTGCAGGGTTGAGAGCTAGCATTCGGCGTTGAAATGTTGGATTGATAGCTCAACAGGTTCCTTATACACAGTTGGGGCTCAGGTGCACTACTCAATTGAGAACCAAATCATAGCCATTCATAATGGGTTGGAGGCATGTAGAACAACTCATGGTCAGAAGTACAAGCAAAAGCCTTTGCATTAGCTGAATGGAAAGGTATCCCACTATTGTCTGTCTATTCTTCTCAGTGAGACGAACAGGATGCGAGGGTTGAGTACAGATGTCCATCGACGTTGTGGGTGTGCTCTACGTACTACCCACGGTTACCTTGTGCGTGCCAAATATATGACTCGATTGTTGCAGGGAAGGGGTTGTATACGAAGAACATTTATCCATATTGGAGGACCCTTGTCATTGGAGCGGGTGTCGACATTCCTGATATAGTTTATGAAAATGATGAGGATCGAGCTCATTTCCGCACCCTTGTTGATCAGGTTATTACCAGCGACCCTGTGATGCTTAGGCACGTGTCTCAAGTGATTGAGGGTGAGATATATTTTAACTATGATGACCTTCAGGAGCCTTGAGTCAACACTCGAGTAAGGGGACGACCTCCTAAGAGAAGGAACAGGCGAGATCCTTCGTTTTTCGAGCATGTTCAACGTAATGGCGAGATAATCGATCCAGAAGTAGATCACCCCCATCTGATACAGGTGATTATCGATATAAATAATGTTTTTATACATCGTATATTTTAATTTATTTTGTGTAATAACTTAATAATATGTCATATTATGTTTTTTATTTTGTAGGTACCGGGTTCGACATGCGACTATGTAGATACAGCTACGCGATTCCCACCATCATTTGGCCTTACGTTGTAGGTGTTAAGGACGTAATTGGAGATGGGAACTGCGGATCTCGGTGTGTAGTAGATTTATGTTACGGAGATCAGGAGGAGTGGCGATTGGTTCGACATCAAATCACAAATGAGGTTGGTTCTCAACCTTGGTTGTACAACATGATTTACTACGACATATGGGGTCAACAGCTTGGTTCAAGACTGCAGAGGGAGGTAGACCGGATCAGATGGGACGGTGATGCGTGTGGACAGAAGCACTGGATGGTAGCACAACAGGATTTTTTTGCTATTGCCACAATATAGAATGTGGTAGTGATTTGTTATGGAGTAGGAAATAGACGATCGCGCTACTATCCATCTACCACTGTTTTACCATTGAACAATCGTGGACGCTTAGACAAGCCTAGTGCAGAGTTCGTGATTGGAACTGTTAGTGGATCGCATTTCATTCGTTTGCATATGGATCGTGACCACCCACTTCCTCTAATTTCACCATTGTGGTTTAACGCTTGTCAGGCAAGTGTAGACGAATGGGAGGCAAGGTATGAGAGAAGGCTTCAATTGTGGCAGACATTAGTTAGCTCTTGAGTACCGTTGAGTACTGTTATGGATTTTTATTAAAATTTATATAACTTTATTAATAAACATGATTATTTTTTTTAATTTTTTTTGTAAGCAATTCTTTTTAAAATTTACTAAGTAAGTACTACGTAATTAGAAAATAAAAAACTAATACATAAATGTCAACTTGATAATTCCCAACAAATGTGTAAAACATAAATGTCCACTAACAACATCCAAAACATAGTCTAATAAAACAACAAAGTCAAAGCTAAAATACATATTACAACTAATCTCTAAGTCCATTTATTGCATTCCAATCATCAATCACCTGCGCCAACATTGCTTTGGTGTTCCTTGATAGCGTAGGGTACTCACTAAGTGATCACTGCGCCGTAACCATGAATCGCCCTACCCACTGCACAAACCATTATAATTGTATTAATAGTAATAATAGGAAAAAAATAATTAAATAAAAAAAACTAACAAAAAACTTACGTAATCAACGTTGGTCCTCTCAGGAAGACCGTGATCATCCTCAACATTAGGAGTGACGATAGGATGGCTAACTCTCCTAAACCATGGTAGGTAGTCGGGCGCACAAGTATGTCCGCCACGTGGAACTCTAGTATATCCACCAAGCAGAAGACTGAACGCAGCACCGGGGACAAATCTATCCCACATGAGAGTGGTCATTTGGGCTGAAAAACTAACCCTATAAGACTTCACACTAAGTGGTCTCTGAGCATCATCAGGCCTAATCATGTCTCCAGGAATCTCCTGTATAAAACCCAACTGTCGAACAACTCGATCGGGCATATATGGCTCTATGATGCCCTGATAGCGAATACATCCCATAAACATAGTCTTAGGCACTTATTGTGCAGGAAAAGCTCCATACGGCAACCAGCGTACCTGCAAATTAGTACAAGTGTAAAAGAACTGTAAATAAAAGCAATATAAAACAAATAGTAATTACGTATCTATTTATACCTCATGGTCACCCAGATGATCAAGTCGAGTACGAAAGGACACGAGACGCTGTTGATGCTTTCGTGTCATACCAACATCCCATAACCCTGCACAAGCATGAGGGACGTCTCGTGTCAATACACCCTGGTGAGGCCGAAAACATAGAAAGTACTCGTATATCCAAGATTGTAGAAGAGTCAGACAACCCGCAATAGAATCACATCCATTTCGGGTGGCATGCCTGAGCTGACGATACAAGTACGCTAGTGTGGCTGAACCCTAGGAGTATCTCGTTAACCTCACCAGGTTATCCTCCATACACAACTCATTGGGAAAAGAAGGGTGAGTACGGGTACCGCTCTTGTCAGTAAAGAGCGTGTTACCCAAAAGGACCCCACATGTAACCAATGACCTGAACCGCCTCTAGTTGCTCCTCACTACGACACCTAAAAATAATCTGGTCAGTATGGATGCCACCGTTCCTGTAGATGACATTTTGAGTCTTGACCTGTAGCTCCTTCGTAGTCAACTGTAACAACCAAGCTACCAATGTCCTATACTGGTCAATAGGGAGATCACCGACAACCAGATCCCCATCAACCCGAATACCAAGTATGTGGTGTACGTCGTGCAACATGATGGTCATCACACCAAAAGGTAGGTGGAATGTGTTCGTGTCTGGCTGCCATCTCTCAACAAAAGCAGAAATCAGCGGAAAATCAAGGTGGTCGTGCATAATGCTCGGCATGTGCGACAACCCAGTCTGCAGTATCCGCGTAGTAGTGGTAGCCGTAAATCGCTTTAGCCATTCACTCAACTCTCTACACACACCAGCTCTAGTTTAACACCGCAAAAATCGTCGATCTTCCCCATCTCGAATATATTGAGCAACATGGGCCCCGAAACTAGGAATAACGCTCCCATCCTCGGGCTCACCGTCCATTGGCCCTTGAACAAGCCAAGAAGCTGCAGATCGAGGTGGTCGTGAACTCGTAAATCTCCAATCAGGACCTCTCGTCACGACAGTTGGCTGCTCCTCAGCATCAGCCTCACCCTCATCTTCATCGTCCTCGGGTCCATCATCCTCGTACGTCGAACCCGAAACCGAGCCAGGAGTCCTCAACAAAGCATTAAGCCAACCACCAGCTCCCTCCTGCTCATCCAAATGAGTCCCAGAATCATCCACTACCCTGTCGCGCTCCAGTACTGAACTACCTTCCCGTATATTAATCTCCCCGTCTATCCTAATCGACGCGTTAATACCGCGTGATCTAGCATGTCGTGGACCAAAACCCTCGGCTACATTCTAAACTTAGAATAAATTTTAATATTAATAATAAAAACAAAATAGGTGATGCAAACAATTGAAAACAAAAGATATAAAACTAATATTAATAATAAAAACTAATGAGATATAATAAAAACTAATGTGATATAACAATAACTTGCGCTTTTTAATATTATGAGTTTAAAATGACATTGATATAAAACTAACAAGCTACGACCCATTCTTGACTAACTTTTATACTTAAATAATTCTACATTGTATTGCCATAACATACAGTAATCACAACATTTGCAAGAATGCAAACCATAATTCTAAACAAAACTTTGCACCCAAGTTCACAAAAACAGTTGGATTAAAACAACCCCAATATGCTTAATTTGTTTCTTTCCAAAGAAATCTAAAACAATAATAAAAATTTAATAATAACTAGAATAGTAATAATAATAATAATAATAATAATAATAATAATAATAATAATCAATAACAGTAAAAATCATTTTTTAAAAAAAAAAACAAATTTTTTAAAAAACGAATTAAAAAAATAATTCAAAACCCAGGAAACGTTCTATTTTTTCGAACAACCTAGGCTCAAATGCCTAGTTCGTTCGAACAACCGTGTGGTTGTTCGAATTTTCTAGGTGTTTCATCTCAACCGCCCAGATCTTTCGTACAACCATACGGTTGTTCGAACGAACTAGGAGTTTGAGCCTAGGATGTTCGAAAAAACAGGGCGTTTGAACTCGTTTTCAGAAAATTAAAATAAAAAAAACCTTGTCTCCGGCGACCGCCTTCCCATTGTCCTTCCTTGTCATTTCCGCGGCTGTGTAGATCGAGAAACCGGAGGTTAAAGGAGGTGGTGGTTGGTGGTTAAAAGAGGAGGAGGAGGAGGTGGTTTAGAGAGAGAATTAATTTTAAGAGAGAGAAGAGGGAGTGAGGGTTTGGGGGGTAAATTATGTTTGAGGGGGGTAAATTTTTTTTTTTTAATATAAGGGTAAATTTGTAAAATATATTTTATGTTGCGGGCATTAGTTAGATATTCGAGGGCGCCGTTTAGCTTTCCACTAAAAACTGCTTTTTTACAAAAAACTAAAAAAATAAAAATCAATACAAAAACTGCTTTTTTTTTTTTTAAAAAAAAAAAAAAAAAAAAACTACTCTCTTTAATCATACATATAAATTAGGAACAAAGATTATCTGGTTCAAAACAAAAATGAACAATAATTATCTTTTAGCCATGGTTAATTTTTAGAATTAGGAACAAAATATTTTTTTTTTTAAAATAAAAATAAAAATAAAACAAAAAACTACCCATGTTAAATGTATACTCCCTCCGTTTTTTTTATTTGCATCACTTCTATGTAGTAACTTTATAATATATTTTATTATTTCTCTCTCTTACTTCAAACCCCACTCAAATTAATTTATCATTTCTTTCTCTCATGGTCCCCACTACTCTCTCTCACATAATTTCACTTTCATGATCCCACATTACTTTTACCACAATAAATTATTCATCCACTCACATTATATTATACTCCCTCTATCCCTATTTTTTTGCTTCATTTAACTATGCACGGTCTCCAAGACGCGTTTTAAAATGTCTATATCTTTATTTCCATACACGTAAAAATTATAAAAATGTGACATTAATAAAATATACAATGAGACGGATCTAACAAGACCACTCATAACTATATAATCTTTTATAGATTAACGGTCATTTATGGTCAAAGTTTTCAAAGTTTGACCCAAAAAAATAGCAATGGGCAAAAATAAAGGGACGAGGGGAGTATCAAATTCATTTTTCTAAAACTCCATGCATTTGCAAGTGATGCAAATAAAAAAAAACGGAGGGAGTACTTTCTAATCCCTGTAGCGTGTACCTATTAGCTTGTAGGTGATAAAATACAAAATTTCATTAATCATACGAGGCCATGTTTTGTGACACACTCACACAAACAGTACCATTGAGTAAGGCTGAGCAAAATTATTCGAAAACCTGAATTGTAATCGAATCGAAAATTAGGGTACCCGTTCCGATAACCATAACGGTTTGGGTACCCGATCCAATAATTTGTTATCGGGTACGGTTATTGGGTATCAATTTAAAATTAACGGGTATCCGATCCGATCCGATAAGCAATTTTTTCTTTTTTTTTCCTACTTAAATCTATTTATCCAAAATCTAAACTCTTACTTTACATCATAATCATTTCATAATTCAAATGATTGGTAATAATATTAGTAATTTGATCATGAACATGTGATATTTGATTAGGGGATTTTTGCTCCCACCAATCAGAATGCGCCACGTGGGCCAATCAGGACCTGCCAAGTGTCCCCCAGTTGGAACTGTTAGGGCTTGCCACGTGGCACACGCTTATTCGTCCACCCTGGACCTATTATGTCATGACACGTGGCATACTCCATGTCTAATGGAGAAACCGGCCACCTAGGCCCAACTTCCGAGGGAAGCTCAATCAGCCCAAGGTTAACCTAAACCTAGGATTGGCACGTTTCCCGAGGTTATAAATACCTCCCTTAATCCTCATTAAGGGAGAGTACACACATTAAACACTCTCACCTAGAGAGACCCAATCACTTTAATTTCCGTATTAATTACTCCTTAAGCAAGTACTAACTTGACCGTCGGAGGCGGATCTCCAATCATCCGGAGCATCCGTTTGTTTTGCAGGTATAGGCGTCCGGTTCCAGTCTCGGAGTTGTAACTCTCCCGCAGGACATCAGAAAACCCCGAAACATTTTGGCGCCGTCTGTGGGGAGAGTACTTCTGAGATGGCATCCATGTCTGTACCGACTCCTGAAGAGAGGCGTCCCCTAGACGACCCTCAAGTTCAGTCGGACCATGATACTATGAATGAATTTGAAGTTGAAGCTCACATAGCTTCAGACGGGACCCTAAGGGCCCGACGCACCCGTCATACCGAAAGGAGGGAACATGAACATCTTCAAACTGGAAGTGAGCCAGCAGGCGCACCGCCTGTTCGGCAGCAGCCGACTGATGGGTCTGCTCCCATCACAAGGAACGGATTCATGACCTTCATGAGGGACTTCAAGGGAGAGATTCAAGAGTTGCTCAACAAGAAACCTGCTCTGGCCAAGGAACAGTCGGCTAAGAAACCCTCCACTTCAGGGAAGAGGAAGTCAGTTCAAGGGCGAGAGGCGACCCCTCATCCTAAATCTAGGAAGTGGGAGCCGCCTGCCCTTGATTTCACAAAATACCGTTTTCCTACTCCAGGAAAGAGGAAACCTGTTCGTCATATTCAGGTTGACGGGTCGAAGAAAACATACACAGATGCTCGGTTATTTCTAGAACAGAAGAAGAGTGACCGATTGTCAGAGTCGGCCTTTACTTCAAACTTCCAAGACAGTCTGCGCAATACCTCGATGAGACACACTCAGGCGCATCATGAGAGTTAGTCAGGCGGCACCTCCTGTCAGTCCGGCTTTCATAGTGACCAGGCGGTACCAAACTTACCATTTGTACCGCAACAACAATATTTTTTGCAGCCACCTCTGTTTGGTGGGCATGCAGCAAAGAATGTCCAACCTATGGACTGGCAGCTACGGTTGCTTAGACTTGGGGAACAGCCGTCGACCTTCTCCAAGGAAATTGCTGAAGCCGCTCAGCCGGCCAAAGTGAAAAATGTATTAGTAAGCGCCTATGACGGCACTACTAACCCAGAAGACCATTTGATGG